CCCGCGGCAGGCGCGGGCTCCAGGGCGCCCCGCACTCCGCTCTGCCTTCCCCTCTTCAGGAAGGTGGACCAGAAGTTGCGGGAGAGGGAGGAGAGAGAGGGGTCCCCGCTCAGCGTCTCTGAGCCCCAGCTCCGGGGACAGACTACCTGAATTTGAACGATGACGCTTTCCCTCCACAGTCACGTGCGCTTGGACGAGTGACTGTGCCTCCGTGTCATCATCCACCAAGCGGCAGGACTGGACTGGATGGCGAGGACGAAGCCGCTGACACCGCGCGGGATGGGGCCAGCACAGCCGCTGGGATGCAGTGAGTCCTGTCACTGTGAGTTCCCGTCACTGACCTCTGCTGGTTTCCCGGGACGCGTCGTGTCTTTTAGACGTGTTACCTAACTTCACATGATGGACTGGAGATTTCCTTCATTTCATAAGAAACTGGGGCTCGTATGGTACATTCGCCTCGCTGGCCAGCGAGAAGCACAGTAGGATTTGCACTCACGTAGGCGGGTTGTGTCTGAGGCTTGTCCCACACATTGGGCCGCCGGATCCGGACCATCGCTGTGTCCCCAGAGCCTGGACCACTGCCTGGCACACAGGCGCCCAGTAAGTACGTGTTGGCTGGTGAATGCCTGATGTCTCTTCACCGTGACAGTCCCTTTGTCCTGTTTGTTGGGCGCCGAGTGTTTGGTTCTCACTGTGATCCGCTCCACTCATTACTACGCTGCCCAGTCTCTCATCTGGTGTGTGTTGCCACCGCTGCTGGCAGACAGGGATTTCCAGAAGGCCGGTTGCCTTGTACTCACTCATGCAGGAACTAAGCCCCAGCATTTTCGAGCCGCAGTAGCTCTTGGCCCGAAAATTGGGATTGGAGTATCCCAATCTTTTTTTCTTTTAAAGATTCAGATATTAAATGCATACTTGGCCAGCGAGACTTCTAAACTAGGGTCAAATGTGTGGCGCTGTTTCCACATGGCTAACTCAGCCAAAAATGAGTATTGGGCGTGCTTAAGCCAGTGTCGCTGCTCTTGTTTTTGGAGGCTGGGAGGTTCAGGGGCAAGCACTGGACTCGGGGTTTGAGCCACGTCACTTCTCAGACCTCTGCATCCCCACCTGTAACACTGCCTCACTCAGAGCTTGGCGAGGGCGGAAGTCGCATGTCTGACGGGCACGAGTATTGTGGAGTATCACTGAAAAAGGATCAGCTGTAGAGTTTGTTAGTAAAAAAGGGGGTGGGAATAGAGCCTGAGTTGCCAGTTTTAGTAAACAGCATTTCAAAAGAATAAGTACAATAAGATTCTGTTTTTGTTGTCTCTGGGTGATGAGATTCTGGGTAATATTATCTTCTTGGTTTTGCCCATCCGTATTTCCTAATTTTGCTATTTATGAATTTTTTTGGCTTGGTTGAGTCATTAAAAGCAGTTGTTAAAGATATCCATTGAAAAGGTTGTAACTTACACTTTGCGATCTCTTTGACACTTGAGGTTCATCATCACAAATATCTGCTATTGTGCAATTGACATATCCAAGTGACAGCGTGATGAATCTAAGACAGTAGGGTTATTTCCATCGATTTTTTTAGGGGCTGTGGTTTTTCTGTCACAGTCTGATGGGTGGTTTGGTTACCCCTGCCAGCCTGGCCTCTAGCGTGAGGCTCAGGGTAGGACATCAGGCCTGTGACAGCTAGGGTCTTCTGGGCTCTCCCCTCCTCAGGCTCCCGGGTTTGTTGTTGTGAGGCTGAAACGCGGCCCTCCACGCGAAGCAGTTAGCACAGTGCCTGCTGTATGCCACCCACGGGGT